GTCGCATTAATTAGTCTGGGCAATTAATTCGATACCGCGGATAAAAAAAGGTGTCGTTCGGAGTTGAGCGACGTCGCGGAGATTTAAATGATACCGCAAAATAAAAAACGGTACCACAAGGAAGCTCAGCGGTTCCGCGGCACTGGAAACGACACTATTTACCGGAAAACAAGATGGGGGCCGCGTGTTTACTATTGGTGTTGGAAAAGGAGTTTCATTATTATTATTATTATTATTCCTTATCGGAAGGGGAGAAGCGATACCGCGTGGAGACAAGCGCATCGCAGAGAATTAAAACGGTACCGCGGATTAAAAAATGATATCGCGAGAGGCCTTGATAAGTGGTGCCGATTAATTAAAAACCACATAGGGTAGGTGATTGGCCCAAAAATCCGCACAACCCAAACGTGCAAAATCTCGGCAATCTAATACGTTGGTATTTCTTTTTATTATGTTAGGCGGTGAGGTTTAATTCAAAACGATACCGCGAGTAGGCCCAACGGTACCGTTGTACTAGCAAATGACAGTGTTTAAAATAAAAAACAATGTCGCGAAAGGAAAAGCAAACAGAGCCGTTTTGGCGCTAATGATGTCGTTGGTCAACACACGAGTTTGACTAGTGATGGCCGAATTAATTAATTAATGTTTTTTTAATGATTATTTAGGACGGTGTCGTTTAGTTGAAAACGATGCCGCAAGAGGTATCAACAACACTGCGGATAAGAAAACGACAGTGTTTAATAAAAAACAATGTCGCGAAAGGAAAAGCAAACAAAGCCGTTTTGGGGAAGGAAACGATACCGCGAGTAAGGCCAACGGCACCGCATGACGAGAAAAACGTTACTGTTTGGTAGAGAACAATGTCGCGGAATGGAAAACGACATTGTTTGATGGGATCAGCATTGATTAGTGAAAAACGATGTCGCGGTATTGGTGAGCGACGTCGTGTGATTAAAAACAATGTCACGAGGTTCGTGATTTCGTCATGGATGATGAGAACGACGTTATGAACGAAGGAGGTTTATTCGCTCAGTTTATGGGGGTGAAACGACATCGTTACATGGACAAGTTTGTAGGATTTAGCTCAACGTCATTTTGCCGAGTTTCTGCATTGCGGAACGGTTTCGAGGGCACGTGATTATCACACAACGAGGAGGAAGTTTCCCGCACGTTTGACAGGAATGAAGACGTGGGAGACAAAGGCGCGAAGCCGGTTACCACGACTACGGGCAGAAGATTGCAGTATAAACATCAGGAAGAGAGAGAAGCTCGAGACGGCAAAATCAAATCTCAAACTGCACCATTGCAGAATCATCAGTTTTCTCTCTAGTTTCGTGGAACCGCTCTGTCATAGACCTCCTTTGCAGAGTCGTAGTAGTCGTAGATCGTAGTCGCGGAGCTCTCTAGAGGAACCTCCATAGGAGTAGAGGTAACATAACTTAGAACACTCCTGGTTTGGTTTCTCGTTTCTCGTTGAACACCCTCGTTCGAACGTAGTTTGGAGAGGTGGTGAACCGAGTAACGGTTGTTCTGGTTAGAAGTCAAAGGTGCATCGATTAAATCAACATCGCCGACGCCGGCACTGGATATTTGACGGTCTTCTTGGTTTCTATTTAATCGATCAAATCAACGGCGCTGACATTTGGCGGTCAATATTTGACAATTGTGTTGACTTTGTGTTTTGTGTTTACTTGAAAACAGTGTGCATTGAACACGCGAGTTTCGCCAACGAAACAATTGGTTAACCATATTAACCAATATAACATCACATCATCATTAAGTGAGAAAATTTTATGTTAATGCATCAATTCACAATTTATATGATGAATAAAATATTACAATGAACACACTATAGATAGCTCTTAAAGAAATACATGCAACTAATACAATTATCTTAAAGTTAATAGAAGTATTCAAATAACAAAAATATATGGCATAGTATGGAGTTAATTAATTGTTGTGATTGTGTGACTTGAATTAGTCTCGTAGCAATTATCATATGCTGAAAAGACCTTCCTTTCAAATTTTCATCTAATATATTGTATGAGTTTTTATCTAAATTATGCGTCATATATCATGGTCTAAGGGCTGGAGGTTCGGTTATCGGTTGCCGGTTAACCCGCCAGTTAAACCGATAACCGGCGGTTACCGGTTAATCGACTAACCGAAATTAACGGGCGCGAGTAGTGTTCGGTAGGGGGGTTAGAGAGGCCGGTTAACCGGCTAACCGACAGTGATAACCGTCGGTTAAATCGACTAACCGACGCATCATTCACCTCGTAAAAACGAAGCCGGCCCACCCCTCCTTCCACGTTCCACCCTAACCCTAAGGCCGCCTAATCGATCCGCCATTCCACCCCTTGTCCCCTTCCTCTTCCTCTGCATCGCGAGACGGCGAGACCCCTGCCCTAACTCTCCCTGCTGCCGCCGACGCCTTGACTCTCCGTGCCGCCGCCTGCACCGACTCTCCCTGCCGCCTGCCCGATGACGCCGCCATCTCCCCCCCCCCCCCCCCCCCCCCCCCCCCCCCCCCCCCGACGCCAGCCGCTCTCCGCCATCTCCCACTTCTTTCCTCATTCTCTCCGATCTACGATTCGTGACACAAACGCCAAACGCCAATCTCCAACCCACTGCTCTCCCTCTGGTGGCCTCTGTCTCTGGTGGACGACCGCTAATTAGTCATAGTGAATCTGAGAGAAGGAGAAGATGAACAACGAAGGTAGGAGATCGCGATGACAACACGGCGATGGAGTGATGACGGTGGAGATGACGAGACGGTGATGACGATGGCGAGATTGGCAATGGCAACACCACCAAGAACATTTCCCTTGTTATTCCCGACATGCAAGGGGAAAGAAGAAACAATAGCGGGAGATAGGTGACGGTGATACGGCGCGGCCGCGCGGGCGGTACCTCTGTATGCAATTTCCTCAACGAGATCCGACCTTGGATGCTGAATTGACGGTGAGGAAGATGGTGGTGGAGGCAATGATTTCTGATTCGCTCGAATTCGATCTTCCAAGTCCCATCATAGAAGATAGGCAATTTTTTTTATTTGGTTTGATAGGGAAGAGGCAGAGGGAGGAGAAGAATTGCGAACTTGATTTAATTCGGCTACCGGTTCGGTTACTCGGTTAAAACCGGTTTACATGGTGTGTTGTGGTTATCACGGTTAACCGAGCAATTAACCGGTAACCGGCCGGTTGTCGGCTAACCGATGAATTCCGTCGGGCAGTTGGCGGTAGACGAGGCTGGCGTCGCGGTTAACCGGTAACCGACATTTCAGTTATCTGTTATAACCGATCTAACCGAAAATCCAGTCCTAGTCTACATTCGACAAATATAAATATACAATATATGAACAATATTGAGCTTTACTGTTGATGAGCCTAAAAGGAAGAAATGTTTGGCTCTTCAGTGGTTATGCCAAGTATTAAGTATGTGTATATAATATGTATTAGATATATGAGTGGCTTCTACGGTACCCCGGGTGAAATCCAAGATACCGCATACCTTAAGTATTAAAATGCTATCTAGACCTCGAATTAGCAGGATTTTTGGAGCTAATACTATACACTAACCTTTAATGAGTGAACCCTAGGTCCTAATTATTTAAATCATAAACTATAAACCCTAAGATAGTGCATTCATTTTTTGCCTATATTTGAACGAATCATAACCGTCGATTATTGTTTCTAATTAAATTGATCTTGGGGTATAAGATTTAGTGAATTATGACCTATTTTGATTTTTAAGGGTTAGAGTATAGTATCATATCCAAAAGATAAGCCAATTCAAGGTCTGGATAGCGTTTTCATACGCAAGGTATGCAGTATCCCCGCTTTCACCCTGGGTACCGCATAACTCCTAATTGATTAGGAGTGTCTAAAACCAAACCACCTAAACCAAACACGCTAATTTTTTAGCCAAACCAAACCAGTTATCCAAATTAACCATACAAAATTAGCCAAATACTATTGGTTAAAACGGTTACCACGGTAACCACACCGTTTGAACATCCCTAATTGCAGGTATAATATGATAGCCAATCTCCTCGAAAAACAACTCTCGTAAGTGGTTTGGAAACTGGTCAACCACCAACCATTTAGCGAGCACTTCTACTATTTTGTAAAGTATTGGCACTTAAAAGTACAACTTAAAGTTGTACCATAACGTTAAAGGTACAAATTGAAGTTGTACCATAAGAGAATTTGACTTTTATGTTATGATACAACTTCAAATTGTACCATATAATAAAGTACAACATTAAATTGTACAACCTGAAGTTGTATCATAACCTTAAGAGCATCTCCATTGGAATTGCAATTAGAAATGCATTATGACATGGCATTGATTTGCAATTGCATTATATAATTGCATTGATGTAGATGACAATTGCATCTTTGCAAGCTTGCATATAATGCAATTATGGAATGCAAGCCACATCATCTTTTTTATTATTAAATTATTCATTAATTTTATTATTTGAGTTTATGTTTTAATAAATTAAAATAAAAAAAATTAGTTGCATTTGCAAGTTAATTGCATTGATGTGGTACAAGACAAATAAGATGAGTTGGATTAAAAAAAATGAAGTAACAATAAAAAAACAAATGCAATTGCAAATGCCATTGCACCAATGGAGATGCTCTAAAAGTACAACTTCAAGTTATCCATAAAAGCAAAAACTAAATTACCAATGTTTTAAACTAGTAAAATTCCTCCCATTTAGCATGCAAATGCTTTTTCCTCTTCTGCGATATCTATGACAAAAATCCGTAAACTCACAGCAGATTTCAGACTCCCAAACTAAAGCATGGCAATGGACCTCACCTGATAGATCAGACACTCACTAACGCCAGCTAAAGCTTATGACCGATCGCAGTGCCAACAACTACCATTTCAAGAGGAAAAGAGACTTAACGCACTACTATAACAACATTCATCAACATTACGTCTCAAAATAATCCGCCAGTTTCTCATCCAAGATCACAAGAAACTCAAAGTTGAAGCGACAAATCAGGCTGCTGATGCCCGATTTTGAAGGATGGTGGAGCAGCAGCAGCAGCAGCAGTTGAAGAGGACGAACCCCCATCATATGCCATCCACCTCGGCTTTGCTTGTTGGCTGCTGTCTCTATTTGCTCCATCAAACATGGATGTTGTCTGGAACAATTCCTTTTCTCGGCTAGACGAAGCTTTTAGTTGGTCCCCACGTGGTGGCACTGCAACCGATTTTATATTAGGCCCTTGCGAGGCTGCTCCTTGAGTTGTCCACGATAAGAGTTGGCTAAAATCCACTGGGTAAACAGTTTTGCCTTTCAACCTCTGATCCAGTACGCTACCAGCTTTGCTTGTCCCCTCCACAGTTTGGTGGTGTCGAGGCTCAACTCCACGCAAGAAGGTCGTGAACTGACTCTTACCTGCTCCATTACTCGAAACAGCTGGTTTTGAAGAATTGCTTGTTAGTGGCAACAACATTTGTGCGGGCTGGAACCCTAGAGGCCCTCCGTTACCCCAAAATGGGAAGAGGGATCCCGACGGAGGAGGTCCATTCCCCGTAAGAGGGAAGTAGGAACCTGATGGACAACGTGAGTTTCGACGTTGCATTGCACTCACTTGTACGATTGTTGCAAGAAGAAGGTCCATATTACCAATCTTGGCAGTTGTTTTCTCCTCGGATGTACCAGAAATATCCAGGTTTCTGTTGGAAAAACTGTCTCCTCCACAACTGCTGTGCCCGAAGGGTAACTTGCCTACAGCTGATGAATCACTTCTATAACCAGAGATGGGTTGCTGTCTTCTTCCCAATACGTTGTGACTGCTCATTCCTGATCCATCCATGCATATCATCTTTCCTTTGAAGGAGTTAGACGAGTTAGCAGTAAAACTACGACGTATTTGTCCATCCCGAACAAGATTCTCAGAAGCTGTACGTCCGAATAATGAATATCCTGCTGCAGGTTCCAAAAGATTTGTGGGCTGACTAGAAAAGGTTGGATTCCAGGACATGCTACTCAAAGCTTCAACAGGCTGCTTCCCTAGTTTCCTATCAGCAACAGCTTTAACTTTTGGACCCAAATCTTCTACAAACTTGTTCAGACTTTCTCTGTACTGCATGCCAGCATCAGAAGCCTGCAGCATTGGAACTTGTTATAATCGGCATAGGTTGCTGCTGCACTTCATATCACTATGTGTTGAAATAAGTACATATTCATTAGCCTTGTATGACCTAGCATCAAAAGTCTTTACAGTTTTGTAACCTTTTGCATTAAGAAACCGTGAATGAGCAATAAGGGACACCAACATGTAGAACCAAGGGCAAAACCCAACATCCAGTGCTCTGCATGTATCTATTACACCCTGATGAAATGCAGAAGCTCATAAGAAACTTATCTGCCTTCTAGCTAAGTTCCTAGTTTGATTTTGACATGGAGCAGAAATTACTTTTTACTTACTTCAAATAGTTGTCACTATATGCAGAATGCCGTAAATGAGCATGCAATTTCTTCCACTTACATCTGTGAGCGATTTTGGGCTATTATAGACAGCTGAAACAATTGGCTTCTCCTTGTTCAGCCAGGTAATCTGAGAAATGTACGTGCTACGCCTTTCCGTTTCAGGGGACAGGAAACTGCTTCCTTCTCTTGACCCTGTCCAAAGCGGGTGAAGGTGGATAAATCAAATCTTAAATCTCTAAAAAAATTGTGAATTAAGAGAGGTGAAATTGGACAAATAACACAGGAAAGTTTTTCATTTTAAACGAAGGGCAAACACAAGAATCGCGTATAGGCTCAGTAGTCAGCAAATTCCTTCTGAAAGTAAGTTGTGATCTCTAGAAGGAAGTGACGGAGACAACCAAACTGAATTGAGAATAGTTTTCACGCCAAGAGGCATTATGCATGGGGTTGATAAGACAGTCAACTTATTGTTGAGTATCAAGGTAGAGCGGTAAGTAATATCAACTCCAACCATTCCTGAATAATTCTAGTTGTTCTACTTTATTTCCAAGGAAAAGCTTTCAGCCTGCTTTATTTAGTTATCTAGCAAAGAGCTTTAGCACTAGAACACTACTCAGAGCTCTGTCACTTCATTATTGGTTGAAACAGATGTAAAACCATTGTGAACTTGGATCAGGCATAATATTCCATAAGGTTCAGAGAACTAAAAAAGACAACTGAATAATTATTTAAAAGTGTAAACATAAATCTTGTCCTGGATTTAAATGATTCCTATACAGAAGTAAAACCACTGTCAACTTGGTCAGGCATAAAATTGCACAGCCTGGAACTAGTAACAACTAAAAGATTTCCTTCCAGCAGCATCTTTCCTCACAAGGTTCAGATAACCAAACACGAAAACTTAATACTTATTTGAAAAGAGTTAAGAGAACAGTTGTCTGGATTTAAATGATTCATATCAGAGATAAACATCTTATATAGTCGATGAGAAAACTGGGCACTTAGTAAGCTGTAACTCTCTTTATTTTATATGGGTTGATTTTGATTCTCAGGATAACCCTCAAAGCCAAGTTGTTCAGTATATAATAAACCACCTGGTCTTTTGGTAATCAAAATATCAATGGCCATTCATACCAGTTGATGTCCTTGTCAGTAAATGTTGATCAAGCATGCACCAAGTCTCCAAGTTTACAGGAGCAAAATGCAGTTATTTAGTGCCAAGTACCAGCTTATCTCATACCTGCAGAAACTTTACCAGTCGATTGATTGATGTGCCGTTTTGAATGCCATGAAGCAAGATACTTTTGATCAGTTCTGTTGGAATCATTTAGGGAAATACCACCTCTGGCGCCACCACTTTTCATAAGCTTAGCAAGTGGACCTCCAGCTTCACCTTGGGCTTTGTTTGACATCTGCTGTCTTGTCCGTGTGTAAATGTAGTCGAAATTCCTTGGTTCTGTTTTGAGAGAATGGAAAAGCCGCTGCCCCAATATACTGAGATCTTCTGCCTGAAGTAACATATTTGTCAGTCACTTCACACAGATTATTAACATCTTCTTGGTACTTGAACGCCATCACCCCTTAGCAAGAGCCAGAAAGCTTACCGCTTCATAATATACTGAATTTGACACGTTGAATCTCATAGCATTACTGAACACCAGGAAAACATCATGCTGCAGAGCGAATTCAGGCAGAACGTCAGAAACCATCTCATGGTAATTACTCGGTGGGAAGACATAAAGTTTGTAAATAGTGGCTTTTTCTCATGGAACAAACAGCCTGCTGTTTACTTTAACAAAGTGGACAAGATGAAGAACATGGGTTCAAGATCAAGGTTTGTCACATAGCTCTTCTCAGTGCCATAGAAGAGGGTTCAGAAGTTAAAACCCCTGGTTTAAAATATAGTGATGAAGAACAAAGCACGTAATCTTTTTATTGCTGTCAACTTGGAAATACGCATGTTTGATATTAAAAGGTTTATAAGGAAGCAAGTTGCATTGCAGACATGGCAATTATAGGCATACTTGAACAAACTGGAAACTTTGGCAAACACAAGAATAGAAATACTTAATGTTCGCATTCCGAGAAAAACCTCAAATTGTTCCAAGCTTGTATACATGTCTTCCTGAAGTTTAGCCCTCATTGTTCCAAAATCCATTGGCTCCTTGACAACATCGTAATAGCCAGTCACCTTAAAATGAGAGGAATATACCAAAAAGGGCATGAGAAGAAAAGAAAAGAAAAAAGTATCTTGCTGCAATGTTTGAATGCGACCCAACTACCAACCTCTGTAGGGTTAACGGGCTCTGCAAACAACTCTTGTACGTCTCTCCTGTGTCACACAAACAGATTAAACTTCTTTGTTTTTGGCAATGAATGTAAATGGGATCCATAGTACAGTAACCTCAGGCGAAAGCATTACCGTTGAAGTACGTCAAGGATAAACTCCAATGCTCCTTTGTTTGGCATCAATTGATTAGATGGCCAATTGGCTGCGTGATGTTTTAGAAACAAGTGAAGCATTAATCAAAGGAACTTGAGAAAGGGTTTGTGTTTGAGTTTCTAACCTTCAAAAAAACGCCCCCCATGTTTAATTGACATGCCATCATATTCTGGCATTTCTTGTTCCTGCAAACGAATGAACCTCCAAACATCTGAGTGATAAAATGCACAGGGAGAAAAGATAACCCAGCAACACTACCTCACATGAAGTCCTCAAGAAAATTTCACTAACAACAATAACGATAAGGTACCATATAAAATGTAGACAGATTAACGGGTTCTGAAAAATCATGAAAGCTAGTTGAACTGTTTAGATATTCCACTGTATGCAAGTCAAGATCTTAAGGATAATCTGGCAGTCGTTTTGAGACACTACAAAAAAACTCCATTTAACAGAACTCTACAATGTCCAAGACAAGTATTTTCAGCTAAAGCCGCCAGTTCCATTCCTCAGATGGTTCAGTACACTAGAATTAAAAGCTAAAACTCAAGGATCTGACAAACCCTCTACCATCCAGAATACAGAGTTGCGTAATACTATGGCCAAGGCCACGAGTAAGCAAAATAACATCTAAGAGAAAGAACCAACAACATTATCTGTTATCACAAAGAAGGCACTATAGTATTTAATGCAGAAGTACGTTTTCAGTAATCAATTCCTGAAGAAAATATGCAGTAAAACAAGGCAGACACCAACAAGTGCAAATGGTTTTTATGTTTGTTTAATAGAGAATGCTTAGCATCCCAGACTAAGATAAGTGTGCAGTAGCTTAGATATAATGCTACAATATGAGAGAGAGGAATCAACAATTGAACAAGAAAGAGAAAAAAAATTCAACAACGAGAGATAGTCTTGACGGAAGTGGCTGAGTTAATAATGTTAGACTATGCATTGATGTCATACACTTTTTCTGACTAATTGCATAATGCGACCAGAATGGACAATGTGGAATTGATACTGATATAAAACCAATGAGTACCGCATGCATATCAGAAGTTTTCAAAAATCAGTGACTCGTTTAATAATCCGTGACAAAGAATCTTGGACAGGACATGGTAAAAACAAAAAAGGAGGAGAAATGAAAGGAGAAACCTGGGGAATGGCAGAAGCACCAAAGTGAACATCATGGAGACTTTTGCGCTTGCGGCCTCTCTTCCTATTTTTGGTTGCTGCTGCTGCTGCTGCTGTTGATGATGATGATGCATTACAGCTAGCATTACCACTGTCGGATAGGGTTTTTGATTCTGCTCTCTGAAGAGAAAGTGCATGAGCTTTCTCCTCCAGAGCCACTATTCTGGCACTCCTCCTTTTTCCTCTTGCTTCCACCTTGGACATCTTCTACACAGCTACAGCAAGTGCTAATGCATCATTAACAAGGAGAAACAAGTCTCCATCACAAATTTACACATTTCCTCTCATGCATGTGGTTGATCCGAAGTTGTTTCATGTAACGGGGCGACAAAAACAAAGGGCATGGGCCTAGAAGCACTTGTTGCAGGAAAAAAATAGGATGATGCAATACTCGAGAGAACATGAAGACAAAAGATTGAAAAGCTCGGTTTAAAAAGACGACAAAAAACCCTGAATATCAGATATAGAATAGAAAATTTTACTCGTAACGGTTGAAACTGCAGCTTTACTCTTCCAGTAACTGGTGGTGCTGATTTTGAATCCGAAGCAACCTATGCGGAGTTTTTCTTGTGTCGGCTCTGGAGGGTTGTGATGGAAGTAGAACTTATTGCTATCCACCCAACAACAGACTAGGATTTCAACTGCATGTCACCTGGTTCAACTTTTTTCTAAGATGTAAACCAGGGAATTTAATGACAGCTCAGATGATGGCTGGTCTAAGCCTTATGGCGCATTCACCATGTCCTAACATTTGAAGTCCCTGATAAAATCCCTTGATCAGCTCCCAAAATATCCCCTCAACCCCTGCACATTGAGTCCTTGAAACATGAGCCAAGACCATTCTCCACTTGCAAAATCTCACCAAGGAGTTCAGAATGACTTCAATTACAAGCGGGCAGACTAAAAGAAACACTACATATAATCAAATAATATAATGAACATGTATCAAAAGCAGAAAACAGAACCTACTGCAGGTTAACCAATTACCTGTGCCATGAGAAGATTTTGAAGTAAGGAAATCAATTGAAATTGAATTGAAATAATTAGTAAATCACGCTGCTCCGGAAAGGAAAGGAACTTATTATTCTACTAAAGATGGCTTTTAAAAATCCAGAAAAAGCAGATACAAACATATCCCAACACAGAACTTCTGCACGGCTGCTAAAGTAGCTAACGCATGGAATCGACTGACCTGTCCAGCGAGAAGATATCCAAGATTGAATATTCTTCTTAAAACAATTAGTTGAATACACAGAGCTGGAAAGGAAAGGAAATCAACAACCTATCAAAAAGGGAAATCCTTGGAGAAGATACTGTACAGCAAAACCAAACCAACCACCTAGCTACTGATAGAAACACTTACAAGCTGCTGATGCTCTGCAACCTTCATGTCTTGGAAATCACAGTAACCCAATTCTCTTTCCAAAACAGATCTGATAGCTAGAATCAAGACGGTCTCATATAAATCAGACCACTCTTATAGATCAAGCTCTCAGAATCCGTGTGGTGAATGGTGATCAGGCTGTTACGTGGGGCAATCAATTCGACAACTGTACGGTGATTCAATTACTTATTGACTCCTTTTTCAACAAAAAAATTGCACATCTGGCACAATGTAACTACAGTAGGAAAGGCTTTATATATAAGACAAAGTCACTTAGGTCAGCTCAAACGTATTCAAAAACTGCCATGTAAAATCAAGCGAATATGAGCGCGAATTTTCAGGAAAGTGCACAGTGAAAGCAAACCAAATGACAACAATGAACTACAAACATACATTAATATGCCTCAGCAAAATGCTTGCATGCCATACAGGCGTAATGATGCATCAGATACTCAAAAGATGTGGCGCTCACCAGAAAGACACCAAAAAATGCATTGCCAAGCCTGAACTTTCCAGACTTCAACACATGCAAGTATAGATACACAGTAGTTGTCCAGAAAACTTTTATTATTATTCAAATTTGTAAATTCAAAAGTACAAGAAAACATCGTCAGCAATGGGCCCTCCGTCACTTTACACCGAAGAAGTTTATTGTGGCTCTTTATGTGTGTGATTGACAAATAGGTTGTGCCAATACATATCTCAACAGGATATCACCGGCACACATCTTCAATATAAGCATGGCATTGGTTTCGTCTGATAATTTTTATGTTGCCTTGGTACACATTCACTCACCACAAATCATGATGCCGTCAACCACTGCTCCGCGTAATTCTTTCTGACAATGCTTGCTGATTGCTGAATAATATAGATGAAGGGAACGGCATGTTGCTTCATTATGCTTCTACATAAAACCACTGCTCCGTAATTTTTCTATCAATGCTTGCTCAATAATATAGATGAAGAGAACGGCATGTTGCTTCCAAGCAAGCAGGACTAAAATAGCAGACAAAGAGGCGATCACGCCCCCAGCTTGACTGCTGAATCATTGACATCCACAGTATTATTTTGCTGTCCCCATAGCTGTGCATATCTCCCTGCGTTGGTCAAGAGGACTTCATGCGGTCCCTGTTCAACCACCTTCCCATTCTCCAAAACTATTATCTAGAAACCATATCCAAATGGACAAAAGAAACCATACACTGTAAGTGTAAGCAACAGCAAACAATTAAGTTATTGATGCTATACTAATAACCCATGGATGGCATAAAACTATAAATTTAGGAGGATATTGTAGGTAAGGATAACAGGAGAAACATCCCCATGGCTCAGATGACATTTTAAGTATCTCCTCCATTACAAGCTTGCAATTATTATTTCTACTCTAGATCACAGCTCAAGATGCATGCATTAATAGGACTGAAAAGTGTGTGTGTGTGCGTGTGTTGGGGGGGGGGGGGGGGGAGGGAGAAGAATACAGAAAATGAAATTATGGCTAATGATATATTGGTGACATCCAAAGCATTACAATTTAGAAACAGCATCCACAAATGCCTAAAAGACAAGTCTCTGGATCTCATGTTCTTATAGCAGTTTTCATTCTCAAATGATAAGTTGATGCTTTCATGGTGAGAATGGGTACAGTACTAAGCAGACGATCCTAAAAGGTTGAATGGATATTTCAACTACTTGGGAAAGAGAATGATCACAAAGCAGTTTAGGCGACACTTAATTTTCAGCACCACACATCAGATTGGAGATGAATGCATACCTCGTCACATTGCATTGCAGTAGTAAGTCTATGGGCAATAAACACTGAAGTACGATTATTGGCTAACGACTTGAGCGCTGTTAGTATCTCAGCCTCTGTAGTGCTGTCAAGTGCACTTGTTGCCTCATCACACAGCCTGACAAATCAGCACAAGAAACATAAACTTATTTGTAGCATTTGCCAGATCAATGAAAATATGAATTCTGCAAATAACAAAGACATTGGGTAGAAATGTCAAATTGGAGCCCCACTTTTACATGAAGGAACAGAATCTTAGTAGTCAAGGGGTTCTTTAACATCCTTGCTCAAGATTCAAGTTTTACAGCTGAACAGAAGCCGAAGACATTCAATAGTAGCCGTCTGTCTCACGGTCAGGTACTGTTTTGATCATTTGACAGTAACATGTACTTCCCACCAAAAAGACAGCAAAAGTGAAACCATGTAGTAGAACTTGAACTGGTTTATATACTTCTCACCGTCAGGTATTGGTTTGTATACTTTATTATATGCAGAGTAGTCGAAAATCTACTTTAAATCCTAAAATCTTACGATTTTATTTACCTGGTTCGATCCTGATTTTACTGTAATTTATGAAGTTTAAAATCCTACACTATTCACGATTAAAATCCTTAAAATCTTCAAAGCTTTTGATTTTAAAGGATTTTAACAATAATCTAGAGAAATTACCATTTTAAGTGTTATTGTTTTTGTGATATTCACGAGTTAACTTATTAATATTATTCGGTGTTTTTTTATATATGGACCTTAAAATCCTACGATTTTAAGATTCTAATTTTATCCTATGATTTGTATACTTTGTAATATTTGTCTACTTTTATAATCTAGTTTGTACAATTTGTGTTATTGGTTTGTATACTTAGTAATATTAATTTGTATAATTTTTTTATATGATAAATATTTTTTAGTATTGGTTTATATATTCTGTATTATTAATTTGTATACTTTTATCGGGTTTGTATAGTTTTTGTTATTGGTTTGTATAAAATGTACTATTGGTTTTTGTACACTTTTATATTCTAGTTTGTATACTATTGCTATTGGTTTGTGGGTTTTTATTATTTGGTTTACCTTATATTCTGGTTATATACTGTTTTTATTGGTTTGTGCGCTTTTATTATTTAGTTTGTATAATTTGTGTTAGTGATTTATATATTTTCATGATATTATTTATAATATTAATTTGTATATATATATGATTTACCATCTATTATTGGTTAGTGACTTACTAACTTTTAGAGTATGATTTGTATATTTTTTATACTAATCTGTTCTGCTTTGTATACTTCAGGATTATGCTTTATAATTTTTTCCTAGGTAAAAGTATAAATAAGATAAAAGATAAAATAAAAGGGAGGAGATAGGGTGCTAACACTTTCATTAAGGATACTATATTAATTACTCTCCTTTCTCCTCCCTTCCCCATCCCTTTCCCCCTTTCTCTACGTTGAGGCTAGAAGGTTATATATACAAATTACAGTTTTGGTATTCAAACTTAATATATCTTAATATTTAGTGCCTAAAATTATTTTGTGTACATATAAGTCCTAAAAATATTTATGAAAATTTATATTTTAGTACCTACATTTTTTCTCTTACATTTTGGTAGCTGAACTTTTAAAATTTTACAAATAGGTCCACGGTTTAAGAAACTTCTACGCCAATTTAAGATTCTTGTGGCCTAGATTTTGTGGAGTGGATTTTGTAGGGTGGATTTTGTGGTTTGTGGGGTGTATTTTGTGGTTTGTGGGGAGGATTATGTGGGTTAGGTGAATTTTGTGATTTGTGGAGAAGATTTTGTGGTTTGTGGGGAAGATTATGTGGTTTGTGTGGTGGATTTTGTGGGCATAAATTTCATTTCCCCCATTTAATTGCACACGTGACTCCCCTTCTCCCTTCCCCTAGTTTTTATTAATGCCTAGCATGCCCCTCATTCCCTTTCCCTTTATTAATTTTGTTTAACTCATTTAAATGAAAAAATCATTCAAACAAAATGTTCCTATTGGTTGGAGCTAGTGTTAGCATCATACTAACAAAAAATGTTTGCACACTAGCCCAACCCAAAATAAAAGGTTGGGTAAAAAAAGAAGCAAAAGTTAAGGACACTGAAAGTGCATGGTGGAAAAGGGTAAAGAAAAAAATTAAAAATATCATCCATATGACTAATTAAATAATCCTTTATTTATTTATAAATCTAAAGACAAGGGGGCCTCCCTTAGTTACTAGATATGCTCCCTGCAACTACTACGGGATAAGATCAGCTTACTCAATGCAGCTCAGTGCAAACAATTTAAGTGTTGTTTGCTAATGGGATTTGGATGTTGGATTTGATTTCCAAATACAAACCATCTTGTTTTTGGGAAAATACATTATTTGTTAAGGTATGCAAATAAATGGAGTCCACGGATTTGGACAATTTTTTTAGCTCCAAATCCGTGGAGCCCACGTATTTGCAAATACCACATTTCATTTGTTATTTGGTTATGGAAGGCAAAATTTTGAGATCCCAATACTAAATCCATGACAAAAAAAAAAAAAAAAAACTAAACAAACAATGTTATCTTTCTGATACAAAATATCCATTATAAATCCAAAGGTTTTCAAAACTCCAAACCTTTATTTTCAAATCCAACAAACAAACGAGCCCAGAAATGTGTTCTTACAGAATTGGTGGCGCTTTCAGGAATGCACGAGCCAAAGCAACCCGCTGCTTTTCACCACCACTCAACTGGACAGAAAGGCAGCCCAATCAATCTTAGATCAAGAAAAGACAAAAAAATCCATGCTGGTTGACAAAAGCATAGACAATCAGCTACTAACTTTCACAAAAAGTGTTCAATTAGTTTAATGGACCACAATGACAAGCAATAAAACAATGACTAAACACTTGAAAGCACATACATTGTACCAATCTGACAAAAATTTGGTAAAATATGCAACTTAATTGGGGAGAGCATAGAAGGCAGGAGCGTGAGAATGTTAAAAGCAAAGGACTTCACACCTTAAGTCCGCGTTCTCCAACCACAGTTGAGTATTTCTCAGGAAAGTTCATAATAGTATCATGAATGGATGCACGTCGAGCAGCATCATAAACCTGAATGCAAACAGTTGTAAATAGAGAAACAGAACCCAGCTAACCAATTCATGGTCGTCAGAACAGCAAAGCAAGTTGAGTAATTCATGGTCCTCAGAACAAGATACTCACCTCATCTTCACGTGCTGAAAGACGACCATAATGGATGTTGTGGTATATTGTATCATTAAAAAGTACCTGTAAATGGATAAACATAACCCAGATGATCAAACATATATGTTGTAAGATAGAAGTTTTCCATTAGTTCACACCATTGGTTGCTTCAATGAACTTACAGTATCTTGTGGGACAACGCCAACAGAGCACCGTAAACTATCTAATTCAATATCCCGTATGTCCTGGCCATCAATTCGTATCTGGGAAGAACCAAATTTAAAGTTCTAGTCTTATTACAGGGATGAACCCAGCAGCAACGGTAAAATACCAGCATTTCAACCAGAAAAAACACATCAAAGATAGAAGCAAGGAAGCCAATGGAAATGGGGGAACCTTCTGTCAAGTCCTCTACAAGAGTTTGATCCAGATGTCTATGCTTTAGGAGCAGTAACCGAAGGAATAAATTTTTGGTCATTATGATCACATGCAGTTTTACCTTTTACTAATTGCTTCAAAAAAACATCTTTTACTATCTGCGAAATTAGCTACAACGCAAGCCAACTTCTTTTTCCTTCCTGCCTTATTTCATTAAACATGAAGGGTGTGTAGATAATTCATTGTACATTTATCAGAAACAAAAGATTTCAGCTCTTACACTTCCAGCATGGGTGTCGAAAAATCTGAAGATTAGTCTAAGAATGGTAGACTTGCCTGCATAGAACAAACCAGAAACATTAATATGCTAAATTTGCGTACAGTACAGAGTGCATGGGTCGGACACAAGCTTCTGTGACCACTGTTACAGTTGTTGCCCGAGAATCATGAAGATAATTATTTTCTCTATCAGAAAGCACATTTGCAGAAGATAGTGTTTCGAAGCTATATCTGGTGCCAGCTATTAAGACACGTTGAGAAAGTTCAAACACAACCATTCAATTTCCCACTCTGAGAATTATGCGGAATACTTTCCAGTATTAATGAGTGTCACTTTCATCCTTATTTAGATTAGATTTCGCATGTATCCAAGGTTGATGAGGTATTAATAAGTTTAGGATTTAAGGGCATACAGCTGACCAAGTGGTTTCTGTAACCATTGTTATTAGTTTGCCACCACTTGTACATCAGGGGACGGAGAAGCTTACGGTTTCTCATAATTAGGAGCAAATAACAATTGAATGAAAGGATAGGACACTGAAGCTTGAAAACATTGGAAGTTGAATTTTATAATCCTAATCTAAGCTCAAATATTCAACTTCGCCTACTAAAACTTAGCAAATAAAATAAGTTCAAACAAACATAAGAAGGTTTCTAAAAGTTTAGAAGTATACATATCAACAAAATAGTAACTTTGACTATGAGCAAAATATTTCACCCTCCAATTAATGACTAAGAGCTTAAATGGAGAAAGGATATCCTTTCGCCTTTTGGCTTTCTCCTTCAATACTTTAATAGAAAAAGCTAAATCCCACCAAGTTTTTTATGAAGCATCACCAAACGCTAACCTTTCTCATTCTCCTAAAACTTAAATTCCAACTTCTTAAAGAATATCTCACTAACAGTATCTTTGGAGAACAAAAGGAAAAACCTTAAATTTTAGTTCAGACAAAACTAACACTGCTCCAAAGGTCACCATAATTTTGAGAGGCATTATGGTCCTCACAATGTCCTACATTTCACATTTATAAACAGATTACATGTCCTGGAACATAATAACTGAATTTTGAATCATCAGTTAAAATATATTTAGGACATCAAATTGTCCTCGATGAACCAAACATGACAACAAGGACGAGGTCAATGGGTAAGATGGTAAAAGAGAAAATAGACCTGTGATAGTTCAACCAAAATCCAAATATTCAGATCACATATATTTTATTAAAAGAATAGATATATATAGGAATGGAACCAAAGTCTCACCACTTCCACTTGTTCCCACAATAGCCACACTTTTTCCAGCTGGTACTACAAAAGATACACCATCAAGAATCTTCCTTTCAGGTAGGTAACTGATACATTCAGGACCACAAACAAAAGAGCATTGCCCAACAAAATTAGCAGCAGTCGTATACTATACAACTGCGTCCTGAACTGAGATTCTAAACAAGTTTCAAACATAGACTGGCCATAAATATCCATCACAGACTAATTAAAACAATTCATCTACATACAAAATGCTCAAACCAAGAAATTACAAGGCCACTAATTCAGGAAACCTCATAAAACTCTTGATGTGAAGTACTGCAGCAATAAATAAGATACAGTCTCCAGCAAAAAAAGTAAACAAGATACAGTTTGTCGTTTGAAAGTCTGCGGAAATTGGAACAGACGGACAGGATAATAGCTTCAACAAGAAAAGGTAACCAACCAAACCATCCTAATTGAAAACTAAGAGTATTTGACTTCAGGCATAACATAAGTACACATCACCAGATAGAACATCCCGAATCAAAGACCATGACAACATGTCAACAAAAGACATGGATTCAAATTTACCACATAAAAATCAAGGCTTCAAGTCCTGAATCCTAAAGAAGGAAAAGGCTCAAAAGCAGGAAAGAGAACGTGCATAATCTTAACCAAAACCCCATAATAGGGGGAGAAGAAAAATAGTAACTAAAACTTTCACATGTTATACCACTGAAGAAGCTATTTGGACAAAGTGAAGTATATTGTGTGCAACTGAAATTTTATTTTGCACTAATGTCGCTTGCTCTAATAGTTTCGTGACAGTCAACAAGAGAGATTCATGAAGTTCTAATCATGGAAGAACCATAGTACCTGAAGGCCACACGGTCAAAATGTATGCTACCACCATTTAACTTCAAAGGTTTTGCACCTTCTTTATCAGTAATCTCAGGTCTCACCTGAGGAAACCCCCATCGTAAGAGCCACAATTTTCAGTAGGAACAAAGAAAACATGTACTGGTGATAGGTTTACTTTTCCTCACATCAATAAAGTTTTACCACTGTTACTGTAATAGAGGATATTTGTACAAAAGCAAAGTAACACCAATATCATAAAATATAGCTACACGATCAAACTGACACAGACTAACTATTTAGCCTCTTAAACATTATTAGTTTCACCTTTCGGATCTAGTGTTTAAACTTGGTACCACTTAATAAAAGTGACAGCTATAACAATTGGGATGGAAGGTACTTATAATTGTATCTGAATTCAATTGTTATAAAATATTCAGAAACATACCTCAAGCAGTTGAAACAATGACTTCATGTCAACTAAGCTCTGCACAGTTTCGCGATAAACACTGCCCAGGAAATTAAGTGGAAGAGACAGCTGGAAAAGCAGCCCATTTACCATAACCTGTATTTTTTAAATTTAAAAGTGCTGTGTCATTGTGAGAGCGCCATATGAGCACTTGACCATAATATAAACCAGTTACTACGGTAAGATTTACCAAATCACCAACAGTCATCCTGCCTTCCAAAATCCCATATGAACACAGAACCATAGCTGTTGATAGAGCAGTGCTGAATATTGCATTCTGGCCAAAATTGAGCCAAGCTAGACTGCGTTGTGTCTTTAAGGCAGCATCTTCATATCCTGGAAAACAGGAAAGTTTCAGAAAATACACAAGACAAATAAGTGACATGAAAGCAAATTTTAATTATTAGCATCAGAATAACAAATTGCATGACCACTAGAAGAGCAGAAAATACTTAAAGCTTTCCCAAGAATGTATGGCCACTATAACCAGTGACATGTAGCCAAGCACTCACACACATGCACACCATATGTACCTATCCGTTTTAACTAATTTTTGTAGACAATCCCCATAGAAAACTATGAACTTTTGACTTCAAGCTTATAACTAACGTACTTACTCTTTAAGAATTCATCATATTTATCAGCTTCATAAGCTTCGTTGTTGAAATACTTGACTGTCTAGAAAAAAGGGAAAGAGATCATACACATGGAAACAAGAAATGTTAGGAAAAA